CATCATAGAATGGTCTCAGCTGAAGAAATGCTAATAACGAAATAGGGTTTGACAGCTCGTAATTACTTGATTAAGACTTCTGAGTAGTGTAAACCATCACATCTCTCAGGGATAGAGATTATTTTAATTGCGCTCTACATGATAAATGAATGGATTCTCGATAAAAGATAGTTTATATGCTCACCATGTAGTTGTGTATCAGATATATTCTTTGTCTTAGAAACAACTATAGTTACTTACTCCAAAGTGCTTTTAGTGGTTATGAGTAAATGGCATATATTTTACTTTATAAGCCGCTATCGACTCCTTGTTATTCATTAATGTGTGTTAGGTGTCCACACTAATAACGACTTAACATTTGGAAACCAAAATTTAGCTTCAGAAAATGCAATGAAAAGGCGTAAAGAATTCATAATACCAAGGCTGATACAATATACACCAAGTGATATAAACTACTGCCATAAGCACTTTCATTTCAAAACGAATTACTGTTTTCGAAACATCCAAGACATATTTCTTAATGATATCCAGGAAGAAATTGAGAGCCAAATCTGATTAAATCATTTAAGTAAGTTTTAATGTAATCTCGGCTTGTTTGGAAAATCAAAACAAGATTTTGCCGTTACCTTTGTCAGCTCTAGTTATCACACTTGATATGTCGGATTTTAAAGCGTTCAGAGCACAACGTTGGTGTTTTGTGAGATTTCACGTACCAGGTTTCCGATTTCAGAAGGTAGTTCCGATTTTTAGCCGTACTATATCTTCTTCTTCCTTCAAGATAAGTGGTATAACTGGTTTTGGTGTTTTAGACACTGATAAGCCATTCATCTTTATTAAAAAATAGGCAATAAGTAGTCAACATTGTACCAATCGAAACAAACCCTGATTCTTTGACTGACTCAAACCAATGAAAGTGGTCTAATTACAATAAAAAATGTTTAACAGAACTCGATTAAATCTTCTGATCATGAAAAAACTGGACGTGTAGTAATTGAGACCGTAAATAAACTAGTTTCACCAGTAGTGAGGAAATGGCAACAAAAAGAATCATTTTTGTGAATAACCCCTCTTTTCTCTAACCACAAACTTCGGAGTAATCCAATAATCACATTTTGATATAATTTTCAAACCTATCAGTAAAAGAATTCGTGAGATTGTTGCTGTGATCCTGGATAACCTTGTTCAAGTATTTACGAACTTAGTTGACAGCAACTCTTTATATATTCTAAATGACTTTGCATTTTAGATCTTTATCATTTCTGTGCAGTCAAGAATCTTCGTTCAAATTCTCTCGCTGTTACTGTCCTGTGCTGGTTTTAGAAACGATAAAGGAACCGACAAGATTTGTACATTTTATATTTGGATTTTACTCTAAGTAGATGTTCTCCAGTATTTAAATGTGGTAAAGATCATAACAGTAATGCTACTTTTCTGTGTTAAAATTTAGAGTTTATAACAATAGTACAGAATTCTGATGCTTAAAGTCTATGCATTTCCTAATTGTTTGACGTATTTAAAACTTACCATAGGAATAACCTAGCAAGACAAAAGATACTAAAACACACTAACTAGCCACTACTGAATTATCGAAGACTTTTCCCAGTTACATTGTTCAGCTATTAACTTGAAAAGTTAAAGTTAAATGACTGGAGACAGAGTCAATAAGTATGTTAATGATCATGAACTATCTGGAAAATTTTACAGCGAGGATTTGTGACTGAACACAAAACAGGCTTATAGGATAATTTAATCTAACACTTATCTGAAAAATATCCTACCTCCCTGTAGATATTTCAAGTAAAACGTTATAGTGATTTCATTAAGAAAATCAACTTTGCAGGACAACTTCAAATACTTCAGTTTTTGTTACTGTTTATCAGCCGCCAATTCACGTACTCCTTTTATTTGGTACTTGATAGATTTTCATTATCGCTACAGTAGACATAGATAGGCTATAAACTTTACTGGTATTGGGTATACTCAGACAGACATGCCTTCTCTAAGAGCAGTTACCCACCAATGTGATAACACTGTTTTAGAAAGAGGTGTAGATGTAGGTAATTCAGGACCTATGGTGTGGAAACACATCACGGAATTGCTAATTTATTTGCGTGGCAAAGCTTATGATTTATAAAGTAATCGCGATTGGTGATTCAGATCAATTAAGCAATGTTTATCATCATACGGACACCATTCATGTTTTGAATTTTCTGCTCTCTGATCCTCGGCAAAAATGAGTGTGAAACTAATTTAAGTCCAAAAATAAATCAAAATTAACCCTAGTCCATCCCTGAAGGTAAATACTACCCCATCAAATCCAATGTTGTTCAAGGTTACTTTGTAAGTCACTGGTTTTGAATCTCTACTCTTCATCTTTTCCCTTTTTAATTTATCATGAGAAACTCCAGCTGGTCGTTCAAGGTGACCCATTGATCCTTTGAGTTTCTATTCCTTAACTCTGACCTGAACAATGGCATGAAAAATTTACAACAGAAGCAGCAAAACTGATTTCCCATTTTGAAGGCGGTTAATTTCAAACGATTTCTTAACAAATTGAAGTTTGCTGGTAGATGATTACTTAAAGGTAGTAAATATAACACACTACAAGATATGACCAGCGTTTACCATGTTGAAATGATTTTTTTAGGTGTTAGGGTTGGAAGTACACCTGAAGTTAAGGTAAAATCTGGACTACATTTCAGTTTCGACAGGTTACCAGTAAACTCCTGTCAGTCAACTTTTGGTTGCCAGTCCCTCAAAGAATATGATATAATGTTGATATGTGAATACATTAGAGAGGAGCACTCTTATTTTGTTGCACTGCAAGAAACGTTAATCCAATTTCCAACATCAAATCTGCCAGAGTAAGATAGAAAGGCCAACCAACCTACTCGTAGGCCTAATTAACAACTATGACTTAGCTTTCTGACTTTGACAGCATCACAGCTGATTCAATCATTGATTCTGTGGTATCATAAATAAACAGTAAAGTGTGTAAGGGAAAGAGGTTATACTGGAGGTTTCTCAAGCAAATCAATCTACTGGAAAAGCGTGCTGAAATCCAGGTAATCAATTTTTTTCAACTCAAGGGTAAGTTTAATATGCTCACATAGTTTCCATAATGAACTAAAATAGTAAGGTTTTCGCGACTATTTGGTATCTTATCCTGGGACAGAAATTCACTCCACATTTGCTTTCTTTTCATTGTTGAGAAAGAACGTGCTAAATAAAAGAAATCTAATTGGAATATGTTTGCTGAAAGAAACACTTTTCAAACATGTATGATTCAATCCGGCACTATTTCGCTTGCGAATTCACTAAAAAGCTGGTTAATACTGAGAAAAGTTATATACAGTCTTACACTGATTAATTTTTACACCCCCTAAAACATCTTATCTAGAAAAGGCAAATCAGTAATTAGATATTAGGCTGCAGTAGAAAAACAAGGACTGACAAGTAAATGCAGAAGAACAACTTCTTCAAGACTGAAGGTAAAATAAACATAGGAAACGTGTAAAACACGACGATCGATTTTACTCGTTCTGAACTAGATCTGCAGCAAACTGTTTGTGTTATTTCTTAGTACTATGCTCAAGACATCAGTGGATTCCAAACAAACTAAACTCCAGGCAAACAAAAAAGCTACTTTTTCCCAAACTCAGTCACCTAGTCAACTAGGGTAGAAAAAGCTAGAATTGAGGGAAGACAGATTTAAATGTTCCACCCTCAAAAGAAAACCACTGATTTTATCGAAGTAACATGAATATATTTTGAATGCCTTTAAAAAAATTCAGTCAGTTGCTTATCAAAATTCCAGCGTTAAAACAAACCCACAAACAATAGGACTTTAACAAGAAAAAGCATCATTCGATACAACCTTAATTTCTAAGAAAAGACAATGCTTCAAGGTGACTTCAAAATGTTGTGCCCTTTGTTTACTCCACCTGTATGTACAAAGCTTGCAAGCAAGTTGACAACCTTGTGGATAAGCAACATCTCTGGTTCTGACCATGCTGGGATATCCATTATAGTTAAAAATTTGTGTTCAGCAAAATGATTTTCTGATGTTTGCAACAAATACTCAAGTCATCTACGCTCCCTCAACTTTGGCTGTTTTATTTCACATTCTACACACTCCCTGGGTATCCCTTATTTGAAAGCTCCGTTATTCGGTAGCAGTGATTTAATGACACAAGTAGGTTGAAAGCGATAGACTTCCCATTTACTCCTTCAGCTCCCACACCTCATATCTAAGCAGTGAAATCACTGCTTGTTACAAAGTTTTGCAATCCCCCTTTCCAGAGGATGAAGGCTTTGTAACGACCAAGATCTTCTTGCACAAGCAAGTATTCTCCATCAGTAACCCGATCGATGGTCATGTTATAAATATCCAATCACATGAAGCAGTCTTTACAAAAAAAAGCTGTTAAAAAGCTTCATATTACCGACAGCAATGTTATTTTACCAGTAAACATGGGGTATTATTTGTTGCTTAGCAAAAATAGAATGAAATTTCACAGTACTACAGAAGTTAACTATGAAAAAATAATAAGTATGCTTAAGCAATGATTTAGTCATAACTAGTAATCTTATATTCATTCAAGTATGCCATTTGCCTTTTCATTTGGGCTGCCGGTATCTGCTATGCTGCCACCTAAGCTTTATGTGGCATTACTGACAATACTGGCCATTATTTCGTCCAAACTATATGCAGAGTGAAGCAATCTGAGGGTAATTTTTACAAATTTCTCAACTTATTGTAGTATTTTTTATAGTTATCTCAACAAAATAATGAGTATTAATGTCTGTTATGCCGCCTAAAGATTACGTGGCAACATACCAAATACTGTCAGTCGTCATTTGACATTTGTGCTTTTGAGTATGCTAACAAGTTCTACATTTATTCTTATCTGTAAATCATGGGTCATATCATCCAGTCAACCATTTTGGTGTATATAAAATCCATTAAACAAAAAACAATGCCTTAAGTAAAAACTTACATTAGACTGAAGTTGCTTGATATTACTGAGTACATTTACAGCTGTTTTCACGTCAAAATTTAGTCGGTCAACGAATAGACACGAATCCTAGTAAGAGAGATAAAAATAGATATATTTCACTTATAGTGATCAGATTGCTTGCATATTAGTATTCATTTGTATTATAGTGTTAATTAACTATGTAGCATGATGTTCGCGTAATGCATTTCATCAAAGTATACGGAGAAAATTTATTATTGGGTTGCATTCAAAAATAATCCCTGCTACTCAAGTCAATAGAAACTATTTACAAGTTTATGTCATTTTCAATAATAATTAATGCCTACCTCTTTACATCCTTTTCTTGATTTTATCACATATATTTTTTCGACTAGTTGCGAGAACTACTGTGTAAACCGTTTAAAGTGATTACTTGGCGTCAATTTGAAAAAATTTATGAGACGGAGGGGATATGGGTAGGATATAGGCAATTTCTAAAGTAAAAAGTCATATTCAACTTGCACATTTGATGTAGCAATAACAATATTTGCTGAGTTAACTCCTTGTGCACCAAGAATTCTTGCCTAGAAGGTCATTCACCAAGCAATTATGTGTTAGTGTGCATCCTATCAAATAAATAAATATGTTTTGGAGAACTGTATCAGTTTCTTTGTAGTCACTAAATTTGTCATATGCTATTTTCGTATATTCATAATGTGCTAGTGGTTGTGAAAACTAACGGTTCTACCTAATCAACAACGGTTTTACTAACAAATGCTGAAAAAAACTGAAAATGAGCTTAAGAACTTTGAAAGAATAAGGACTTCAGAGAACAAATTTGATTTTGGCAATATCAGCAGCTGTACAATCACATTTAAATATAGTAAGTGTGCACAAAATTATTGTTAATTATTGGTCAATAATTGCCAGTAGTTTGTGCTCGTAAAAGGAATATCGAAATGGGAATTGCATAAGAAATCTGAAAATATTTGACAGTATGAGTGAATTTGGGTTGAAATGAAGAAGTAAAGAAGTGAGTAATGCAACAGGAAATGAGTAGATGCGCTAAATAAAAATCATTTATGTCATTAACAATGCGAAAATTAAACAGCTGTCTATGCATAAGAGCCTGAAAGTTTGGTTAAGAACTGAGAAGTGGATAGAGATAAGGAATGGCAAATTTTCCCCCGGGTAAGAAATTCAGGTCCCGACTGTTGCACTGTCAGAGCCCCAGCAGTGTAAAGTAAACGATTCCTATCGTTCTTAGAAAAGTTACGTCGTAATTTGTAGACTGGTGTAAACAAATCTTCTGGAACTGTTTAAATGTCGTATTGTGAAGCTTCTGGTTGATCTGCGTTGACCCTTACTGAGCCATGCTGGAATATGGTAGCATTGACGTTTGATAATCTACCTCTTTGTACGGCCTACGTAACTAGCTCAACAGTGGCAGATGGAGTGAAACATGTACACTGAAGCTGCTGACAGTGATAGTTTGTGCTCTCCACACATGTTCACTACTGAGTGACCAGTATAAGTGATGCGCTGCATAGAATGTCTTTCTGATAGCCTTCGTTAGTCTACATTTTACTACTTCACCTGCTGCATCTTCACTAAATTCCAACTTCAAAATTAACTTCTTCTTTTCCATGGTTATAAGAGAATGATGAGTAGAATTCGAGTACAGATTTTCACCTACAAATCTCTGTGGGTATTCATTTCTGATGAACATCTATCCAAGAAGTTGAAATCATTCTTCTAAAGTTTTGGAAGTACAAATTCTTTGGATTTGAGCGGAAAAGAAGTGGGTTAAATCTGTTTTATGACTAATAAGAACCTCGCCGTGAAAGTGTATCATCTGTCCATTTCACTTAGATTTTTAACTGAAAGAATATATAGATATTCTTTCATCGCTTCTTGTTAACAGTGCATTGAGGAATGATACTTTTGAATATTCGCCAAAGTTTTTATTTCTTTATGAATCAGTGGGAATATTCAAGTCTTTAAAGGCTTCAAAAGACTTTACAATACGGTGGTTTTACTGTGACACTGTGTTTAATAAGTTTTAATGTTCTGTACGAAGTTATATGGGATAGATACTATTCAAAGTACACCAAAAGTCACAGTTATTGAAGACTCTGATCACTTCAGTAACACTATGCCGATTGCTCCTATGCCTAAGTCTGACTTAAAATAAAGACTTTCTAAATAGAAATCTTTTATCTAGAAATAAGCAAAGATCTTACATTTGAGTTCTTCAGTTACCACCAAGAGAAGAAAGAAAACTAGGATTGTCCAATGCAACTTAGTGTTCTTTCTACAAAAGCGACTCATGTTTTCAAGATAATTGTCAGTTGTAATAGCGGGTAAGTGGTGATCGATATGTGTATAGTTTTATTTTCTTCATTTTACTGGACTGATAAACATTACAATAGCCAGCTAAATTGAACCTCCCTTATTTCTTCAAACAGATGAACGATCCAGTGAATTTGCAAAAATTATTCTTACAATGAATTTGCCTTAAATAAAATTTCGTTGCCCTTCACTGTAAAATCCCTCGAAATATTAATGACTTATCGCTTTTACTTCCCAACTCCCAAATTTCCTCACAGAAGCTTGTGTTTCGACGATGGTTTCCTGTGTTTTTGCCCACAATTAAATTTATTCAGCCTTATTATTAATTTTTCCAATCAATCTACTGGCATCCAGTTTACTTAATTTGTCTTTTTGGTTATTCTGTAGACATTATAAAGGTCGCTATAACCATCATGTATTTTGGGTGAACTTTAAACACTCAAACAGGTAAAAAAAATTCATGCCTCCTTGTTACCTTTCTTTTTAATAAATGATCCAATTGTCTGGGCTGCCACTTGAAGTTACTTGAAAACCACTCTGCAACGATGTATTCTCAATACATGCCAATATATTGCCTCAAAATATGTGGAATACATTTGTTTTATTTCTTGCTCACGTGAAGTAAATGCTTTTTAAGGGATGTTAAACTATCGATCAGCTGGCACTCTTAAATAAAAACTCCTGACAAGAAACTATTTGATTAAATGAACTTGAATCCAGTAGATATTCAGCTTTGAATCTCACTTTTATAACAAGCAAATTTTCTAATCGAAATATTCATCTCTTTTTAAAGCTTGCCCTCCCCAATATAGTTGATTTTTCTTGACATATTTTGGATATTTAAGCATTACACAACCGAACACTTCATGAAGATCTGTTTTGCAATTCCGATTTTCAAAAATGACAGTTCTTTTAGAAGAGTAACTTGGCAAAGGTCAAAAATTGTTTTTCAATGTAAATTTATCTAACAGATGCCCAAGACCACAAGATCTGTTGTATATGCTTGTGGTGAACAACTAACACTGAATTATATAAGTAACTGAAAGTAAAAGGCTTATCTTTAAATTTCCACAAGCAGGTTATCAACGTTTTCTTCTACACAGTAGAGCTCATCCTCAATAGATGTTGAAAGTGAACACTATTGACGACTCAAATTTCGATTATAAAAACCAGTAACAAATTCACTCATGTAGTGTCTGTCAGCCACTTTATTATCATGGGTAATCCAATCAGAATTATTCTAAACAATTGGTGTTTTGCTATTCTTAATGAGAACAGTCTTTCTGACGTCGTCACAAACCTGGCCCATTATACCTAATTATCATGGACCCAAATAAATTATATCTCGAACTGATCGAATAGCTTTCTGTGATCTGCACAATTCGATCCCTTTAGAGGCAACAATACCATCAGAAACGTGTCATGAGATCTCTCCGAAACAAAATGAGGAAACTTTAGTTTTATAGTTGCCTGAAATCAGCTGAGTGACAGCCATGTACCATGAGTTTAACAGGAACCCACAATGAATATACCAAACGCTGAATACTCTTGATATTCTAAAAATGCAAACTATGAAGTTAGAATTCATAAGCTTTGATAAGCGCCGAATTCAACAAAGCATATGTTACCACTTTTATTTTCTAACACTCAGATAATGTATGTAGAAACAATACACTAATGCCCTTTTTCTAGCCACAAAAGGTATGATCCGTGCCGCCAAAGTAAGAACGTGACACCAACAAAACTGTTTATATATTTGATGCTAAAATTCACATACTAAACGACTCATCACAAACCACTCAGTTCAAATAGACTTCAAGACAGATTTTTCATAGCTGCTTTTTCAGTTTTAAAACATTATGTCCTGAGCATCACTAGCCAATAAAACAGCTTCTTGCGATGCTTTTCAGCACCAGGCTACAGTAATAGCAGGACTTTGAAACCGATACCAATATTTGGCGGCAAAGAAGCTCAAGTAAAGATTCTTGATATTTTTCAGATAATTCCTTTCTGATCTCCCAAAGTTCATCTTTAAAAACATGATTACAGGAAAGTGCTGGCATATTAACTTGCAGTGAAACAAGAGAAGCATAAAATAGCTGTATATGATCATCCTAAGTAAGCCGTCTTCTAATTACGTCACTTAAATCTATGGAATATACTAATCGTGCCAAATCGTTTCAATATACAAAGAAGAGAATAAATACCAACCAGATGTTCGTTCATGTGACTCCATATCAAACAAAAACTGGGATTGAAAGACTTAATGCGATAAAAATAGTAAAGCCAGAGTACCCTACAAGTCAGGAGAATGCTGAGTCTGTCTACAATCTCGATATCACCATTAATTTTGAATGAGACTGTGATCATACCTATTAATAACAAAGTACGTTCGCAAAACACTTTTAGAAAATGTAACCTTCAAGTAGGCTGGCATTGTGCACCATACTAAAGACTGAGCCTCTTAGGATTTTTCAAGGCTAAACCTGACATTATTGATATTGATAACCTTCAAAAAAATATAACTAGGTAAATAAATCAACAAAAATGTGCAAACATTAAATTCTGAATAAAACTAATCCTCACTCTACGCAGTGATACATACATCCGTCTGGAAAGAGTCTTTACAGTTTATATCTCAGTCTCATACATCTACTTCAAGTAGTGTTTAAGGATATCTCTATGTTTGCAACTAAGTATGTAAACTATATTAAATAATAATTTCATTACTACAAAACTTAAGTAAGTTGTTGGTCTCCAGACTCACTACTTTTTATTAGTTAGCAATAAGAGGGGGCAATTTTTATCTAAATAAACATGGCGCACCTCAGTACAGCTACAAGGAACCGATTAACAAATTTAATAGCATACTCAAAATCAAATTTACCTGTGAGAGGTAAAACCCAAAAATTGGAATGTATTTGAGATTCTTATGCAGCACGAACCTCGTCCTACCTAAGCTACCTTGATGAGCAATAAGCATTGAACATATAAACCAGTCAACTTGGAAATGATTAAGAAGGTAATGAATGCTGTTTACCTGTGGAGAGATGGTTGGAAATGAACAAAACTCTGTCATTCTTTTTCTTCATGAAATCAACATCACCGTAAACACATACCTAAACATATATGAAAAGACAATAGTGTACCTTTTCGACACCCATATATCCAAATATAAGTAGAAACGTTCGCATGAATGCTTCAAATAGTAGTTCATTTAAATATCGATAAGCTTGCTGAGAATGAAGAGTAATTATCCTCACCAAAATCCACAGCAACAGCACTGTTGGGGTGAGCAGGCCAACAGTTAGTCCAAAGTAATATTTTAGACGATTTTTCATATGTAAGCAACTTTGTCGCAGAAAGTCAAAAATCTTTCATTCTACCGGACGATAACTCAAGGTTATTTGACCAACAACTTCCAATATTCAATACCTGCTTAACGAGCTTATGCAAACCAGTCGACTTCCTCGTACTCAGTTCTAGGTCTTGCGGGGTGGTTACAGGGCTTTGATGAATTCTGATGCAATAGATCTAGCTACTCGTTTTATATAGATCTGGTATAACAATCAGGTGGTTTAGTGTTGGTTAGCCTTCCTAGGACTGCGGTGTACTTGGGTTCTTCAGATTTTGAATTGTCAGATAGTTGTTCAGACTGGTCACAAGAAATAGTTAGGGGTTTAAAGAGATAATCTAGGAAGGAAGACAAAGAAAAGTGAAATAGTGGAGTAGTCGACGTACACCCAAGAGAGACGAGAGGGGTGCATAGTTATGTAGAACTTTGGTGAGTGAGGTCAAACCGCAGTGAGCAAAAGGAATGGAAAGGACTCAGGCGGTTAGAGTAGGAAGAGGATTGGCGTAGAGGCAACATTGCTGGAGTGGTGTTACAGTAGTTTTTTTTTTCCGTCTAGTTCGTATGCCAACTGGATGAGCGCAAACCATGTGTAACTGTCCAAGTAAAAGAGTACTTTTTTCTTGGTCTTCTCAGTTTGTGTCGAATTTTCCTATGTATATAAAGTTGTTTTCACGCCGAGCTTAGTGGGTGCAACTGTTTCCCGAGCGGAACTAATAATCTTGTAAAATTCGTCGAGGGTTTGAGACAGATTACCGCTAGTGAAGAAGTCTTCCCAACTGGGGCATCTTATAAGTGTCTGGAGGAGCTCCCAGTCAGCATTCTTGATGTCCTTGTATAGGTCGTATTTCGGTGTTACTTCGTATGCATCCTCGCGAGCTACTAGAAGTGGTAGAGTCCTCGACTTCACAACACGTCTCTAACACTGAAGTTGGAACTTCTAGGGATTTGGAGTTGACGCCATTAGTCTAGGAAAGGCCATGTCCACCAGGCATGGAGGACATGACAGTCTTCCGATTGACCTTTCTGCAACCCCACCAAGCCCCACCCACACTGAAAACCGCAACCATTGCTGGATGTCACCATGCATTTACCTCCTGGGGGACCCGCTGTCAACTCAGGTATTCTATAGATGACCATGATTGTGGGTCCTCATGGATCAAATGCGTCAGATGCAGAGTAAAGTGTTACTTATTCCTTCATATGTGGTTATTATGAGGCTATTTTGTTGCTTTTAGTGAAAGCGGACAGGCGTCCTGAGTCGCGAAGTCCCAACTATTGATTTTCAACACCCAACATCTATGGTATGGGAGTAGGTAGCCGACAGTTATTGACCTCTCGCCTCCGGTTCTTTGACCTTGGTTCCTGTTGTTCTGCTTGCTCCTGTAACAGACAAGATAAACCCTGTTGTTTTCCGGCTCTTAGATCTGATAAGCTGAATGTTTTTATGAGTTGGCAACTGCAATGGGTAGATTGGTCAGGCAGCTACGCGTTGTTGGGATGATTAAATGTCTTTCATGTCTTGTCATGTCTTTGTAGCTTTTCGAGTAGGAATGACAAGATGGTGAGCGAGGGATATGTGGGAATTACTCGAAAGGCAAAAGAGGGCAGATGGGTCTAGCTGCTAGAGGACTGTTGGTTGATAATCTAATTGTAACAACAAGTGAGGTAGAGTGGTAAATATGAAGGAATTAGTGGTGGGCTGGTGAGATCAGTGAATCCTTGGATACATCTGTGGTATGCCATACGAAATGACACATGATTTTCTAACCATCTTCTGGGTGAGTTTGCTGAGGCGGCTGTCACCAAATATCGCGGTAGGGGACCGCACAAGGCACATACTTCTTAGGAGAAACTGTTGGGCCTGAATTTGGTGTTAGCTGTTCTATGCCTCGTCCTGACAGGGTATCCCCGTGACGGTCACCAGGTTGCCGGTAACGTTAGTTTGTTTGTGTGGTTCGCCTGATGGATTGTCTTGTAAGCCACAATAAGACCATCCCTCCTTTTACGATAGTCCGAAGTGAATAGAATTAGGTGTTCCAGTCCTTCAGAGTATGTCTTCCCCCTTAGCTTCACAACAAATTTTGTTGCACATCCTTCTATTTTATCAATAAGATTGGAGTCTCCCCTGAGTGCATTGTGCTGCCTTATCGGAGACCCCGGTGCCGGCAGTGGCTAGGATTTGAAAGTTAGGAGAAACAGTTCAGGGTGATAGCACCGGGCTATCTGAGCAGAACGTACTAAGTGGCGTTTTCTCTGGCTGCCTTTTTTATAGTTAGAGCTGCTGTCCAGGGTGGCCGATACTGGCGGCGCCGCGGTTGCTTAACTTCTCGCCGAGTTCGGCTGTCCCTTCTTCGTGTGTGCCAATGAGTACTAATCTGTACCTTTCCGGGTTCAGGCTCGGGCCGTTTTCCGACAACCAGAGTTCTAGTAACTGAAGGTCATTTCGGAGCGCTGTACAACCTGTCCTATGGTATTCACTTTGACCGTATTCTGTCAGCCTCGGCCCCGAACTGCTCGTCTCCCAGGTACGCTTTGAACCAAGAGAGCAGAAGTTTACTTTTGTCGGCTGACAACCTTCTGCAACAGAACTGTGGGAGAAATATCGTCAAGTGCTTCAGCCGGCTCAAAAAAAGTAGTGTGTACTGGTTTTCTGTCGCCTCAGCTAAACCTCCAGTTATTCCATCCCACTGACAAGTGATTAGTATATGGATGACCATTTTGAAAGGCATACTGAGAAGTATGGACGGTGTTTACCGTTTAAGAAGTTCCAAAATCTCGTCCGCTATCGGGCATCCTGACGCTCTGGACAGAAAAATGAGTATGGCAATCGTCCCGTAGCTGACAGGTCTTTTTCTGTCCCCTACCTTGAGGTTGGGTGGCAAGATCGTTCATTTCCATCTGTTGGGGTGTCTGCGTAACTCTGGCGAGTGCTCGAAGAGGTTGCGGGTTGGTTTGGCGAAGGCCTTGACACAGTCCTCCAGAATCACCGGTCTAATATTCTTGCAGCAGCGGGACCTGCCTGGATGGGACCTGGATAGTTTTTCCGATACCAGCCTCCGCGTGATGAAAGTGTGGCAGAGCTACTCGTCATTCGTGGTCTGATCGGTGTCATATCTCACTAGCTCAAATTTAGTGTCCTAAGGGCCAAGTTTCCCTTCGAAGCGCGAACTCATAGGCCCAGCTATCTCTAGACTGTTTACAACATAATTAGGACCAGTGATAAAAGTAACCCCCTGTCTGGTCAACTTCTTGGAATGAGGCGGTACAGGTTTCTGGGGCAGCTTCGTAACCTCCTCCCAGGTTTTTTGATGGCCATGCCCGTCACCACGGTCCATTATTTTGTGGCGTTCGCAAACCGTTTTGCAGTTCAAGAAAGCGATGAGTCCTACTCAAACCAAGTCTTCCTTCCTGCCTGGGGTAGCTTCCCCTCCCTTGCTTTATCTGCAAGGTTCTTGCTGACAGCCGGTATAATCCCTGACACACGGTGGCTGATGGCCCTAAGGATTATTTCTTTCACCTGTATCCTGTGTTGATCCATTTCGTCATTTTTTGGAAGAAAGTGAATCGCGAGTTACTTTTACATCAACACCAGCATATTGTCTTCGCAGCAACGAACATGCCGTTCCAATAAATGAGTACCGCTTTAAACTCCGATGTAGGTTTTTCATAATGCGGTGTGGTACACTGTGGAACAAACTCCCCGGTTCCATACAAGCATGCCTATTTCTGGCTAGTTTCAACGATTACTTAAAGAATCCCTCCTATCTAACGATTCTTACCAATTCGTTGACGGTCAACTCAGACGGTGACACCATGTACAATGGTGCTACTGATATCTGGACCCAAGGGAGACTAGCATATCAAGGACGAAGATGTACCGCGCCGAAAACTAAGTGCATAAGGCAAATCAAGATCTGACAACACAGCTGACCTAGAGTAGACAGCTAGCTGAGTGTGAAACGATTTGCGACACCAAATTATGTAGCAACCCTGATTGACCTCCATTTCTTCCTGACTTAACTGATCTCTAGATTTAACGCCCATTCAATCTGAACTACGAAGGATAAGTCTTTTACTTCTTACTCTAAGTAAATAAATTTAGTCGATCACAACTAGGGCTCATGTTTCTGACGTTCATCTTACCCTAGGCATACCTTGTTGAACAAGTACAAACATACCTCCACTCTACAATGCTGCAGCGAATGTGCAGTGGTCATACGCTCCTGCCAGAAACAATACGGTTAGCAAAAGGAAAAGAAGTTTTATGATAGTGTATATCACAGCAGGATTGGCGAAGGGTCGTAGGATAATTCAGAATACAAAAACAGCTTGACAGCGTGAGATGGCGGATCTGATGGTGGGGACTCACGGAAACCACCCTTACCTGTGGGATTCACGAGAGTGGGTGGGGCCTTTGGATGTGCGAAGACACATCACGACAAACACTACGAGCTACAACGAGCACTTGATGACCAGCGCAACAGCCTCTAACCTTCTCCATGTCATCCATACCATTACGGTCAGCAGAAAGAGTAGGGGCTAAGGGAGGAAAAAGAAACAACAGTAGATGGTACGGGTAAAGTAGTGACTGACTAAGATATCGCAAAAATGCGTAATAGCACGGAATGCAGATATGATGGTGAAGACCTATGGAAACCACTCTTATCCGAGGTCATTAGACCCAATATATGCCCTTTACTCTCCGCTCCCTTAAGGTTATAGCAGCTATCTCCCAATCCGGTGTGCTCATATCAAGGCTCTTACTGGTACTCAGATGCAAAACAGCCTCTAAGCCTTTGTAATGCAGCCTAAACTAGGTCGTGAGAAATTCACCATATAAAACTTCGAAGGTAAACTATAGGTAGAATGTGAAGCTATATGGCCCCTTATTCCTCGTGTCCTTTTTAGATACTCTAGTCTTCAACACTGCTCCCCCAAAATTTAAGATGACCAACTTCACTTCTCATGCCTCAATGTTTCTCTTTC